ATATATGCTATAGTATATTATATATCTACATTATATTATATATATATATATATATATTATATAGATATATATATATATATACCTTATATATAGTATATATATATACTATATATCATATATACATAATATATCATATAATATGTATACATTATAATATATATCTATCTATATCTATATATATATCTCTCATATATATACATTACTATTATTATCTATCTATTTCTATTCCTATATTCTCTATCTACTATCTATCTATCTATCTAACATTCTATATATCTATAGTCTATCATATAGATAATATATATCATAGTCTATATCGATATACTATATATATACACATTATATCATATATATATACATTCTATATTAATATATACATATATATATATATATATCATCTCTCTATATATAATATATATCTATTATCCATTATCTATATAGTATATATATATAGTATATATATATATATCTTATATATATACATACTCTCTTATCTATCTATATATATATATATAATATATACTCATATGTGTATCTCTATATATCTATATTATAATCCTACTCTCTATCTATCTATATACTCAATGTATCTCTCTATATACATCTATCTATCTACTCTCTCTCTATCTTAATATATATCCTACTCATGGTATCTCTCTCTCTATAATTGTACTCATCTCTACTATATCATAGTATCTATCTATTAGAGATCTCTCTCATATCTCTTCTCTATCTATATATATCTCTCATGTCTCTATCTATATATATTCATATATATTATATCTATTTATACGAGACTACTGTATTATCTCTATATCTCTATCTCTCTCTCTCTCTATCTATTCGACTGTATATCTATCTATATTATCTTCTACGCTCTTCTCTCTTCTATCTTATCTACTGTCTATCTCTCGCTATCTCTATCTCTCTCTCTCTCATCTCTAATCTCTCTCTGTTATCTCTCTCTATCTATATCTAATGTATCTCTCTCTATCTCCTATATCGCCTCTCTCTTCTTATCCTTCCTCTCATCGCTCCTGTCTCTCTCTCTCTCTCTCTCTTCTTCTCTCATTCGCTCTCTCTCTACTCTCTCTCTCTCTCTCTCTCTCCTATCGTCTCCTGTCTCTCTCTCTATCTCAATGTCTCTCTCTCGCTCTACTGTTATATCTCTCTCTCTACCTTCTTCTCTCTTCTCTCTCTCTCTAATCTCTATCTCTCTCTTCTCTCTCTCTCTCCTGTACTCTCTCTCCTCTTCTCTCTCCTGTCTCTCTCTTTCTGTCTCTCTCTGTCTCTGTCTCTCTTATCTCTCTCTTATCTCTGTCTCCTCTCTCTCTCTCTGTCTTCGTCTCTGTCTCTGTCTCGTCTCCTGTATCTCCTCTGTCTCTGTCTCTCTCTCTCTCTGTCTCTGTATTCTAGCTCTCTCATCTCATCCTACTCTATCTCTCTCTCTCTCTCTCTCTTCTGTGTGTCTCTGTGTTGTCTCGCTTCTCTCTCTCTCTCTCTCTCATCTCTCTACTCTCTCTCTCTCTCTCTCTCTCTACTCTCTCTCCCTCTCCCTCTCCCTCTCCCTCTCTCTCTCTCTCTCATGTCTCTCTCCATCTCTCTCTCTGTCTCTGTCTCTGTCTCTCTCTCTCTCTCTCTCTCTCTCTCTCTCTCCTCTTCCTCTCTCTCTCTGTCTCTGTCTCTGTCTCTGTATCTCTTCTCTCTCTCCTCCTGTCTCTGTCTCTCTACTATCTCTCCTCTCTTTCTCCTGTCTCCTCTCTCTCTCTCTCTTCTGTACTCTGTCTCTCTCTCCTCTCTCTCTGTCTCTGTCCTCTCGGCTCCTGTCCTCTGTCTCTGTCCTCTTCCTCTCTTTCCTCTGTCTCTCTCTGTCTCTTTCTCTCGCTCCTCTGTCTCTTCTCTCGCTCCTTCTCTGTCTCTTGTCTCTGTCTCTCCTCTCTCTCTGTACTATGTCTCTGGTCTCTCTCTCTTTCTCTGTCTCTTCTCTCTGTCTCTGTCTCTCTTCTCCTGTCTCTGTCTCTCTCTCTGTCTCTGTCTCTGTGTTCTCTCTATCTCTCTATCCTCTCCTCTCTCTTCTCTCTCTCTCTCCCTCTCCCTATACCTCTCTTCCGTTTCCATTCTCCCCTCGCCCTCTCCATATCTCCTCGCATCTACCTCTCATCTCTACCTCTCCTCCGCATCTCCTCGCCCTCTCCCTCTCTCTCTCCCCATCTCCCTCTCCTCTACTCTCTGTGTCTCTCTAGTGTATGTATCTCTCTCTCTCTCTCTCCTTCTCATCTACTCTCTCTCTTATCGCTCTATCCTCATATAATATATATATTTATGTATATCTCCGGTCAATGCCTTAGTCATGAGTACGGGCGCCATCCGTGACCTTTGAAATGTTGCTTAACACTATACTCCACTATACTCTTATTTCCGAGGCGAAGATGTACTAGGTTGGCGGTGATGTGAAATAGATTGACGGCATTTGGATATTTCGTCAGCCATTGATTTCTCA